TATAATTATTATTTTTTTTGAATGCCAGGATCAATTCAAATGCAAATGCTGATACGCCATGTTGGCCTGTTTACTGCAGCCTTGCAGTGGACCGATGATTAACTCTAACCAAATACACTGTTTTGGTATAAATGATAATTCACGCATCAGAAGGTTAAGCAGACCAGCAGGATGACGTTGTTTTCCACTAGGAACTTCTACTACCTGACGAGCACTAGGACCCGGATGAGCAGAGATGTGGAGTGGTCTGCACGCGCCCCTGTCAAAAGTGTAGTGTTGGCCACACGCGCGCTGCACAAGATGCTGGTGTACATTACAGTGAGGGGCTGCTGAAGTCTGTTACGGAGTAGGCTACTCAAGAAAACTAGTCTTTTCGACATGGAGATCACCGATTCCACTTGTAAGTAAGATTCGTTTTTCATACGACACTAGCCTTACAGTTATCGTCTTCGAAATAAGTAATAATGGATTATTTTAGCTTTTTATCATTAGGCTGCTAAAGTAAGTCAATCACACATTTCCTGTGCACCTGTGCAGGTGAATCTGATGTTATTACACAATCAGGAGCGTCATGCACTCATGATTTTTGAGGGGGCACTATACAGTATATGGGGGGCACGTGGGGGCGGGGGGGTCATGCCACATGACAATGACACACAGCAGCCACAATAGCACTGTATAACTGATATAGGCTTATGTTTCATTTATTCTTTTCATTTTTATTCGAAATATTTCCGAACGTGTTAACTATATCAGGAAATATCTCGATTCTCTAAAATGTGTAAGTAAATGCGTTTTGCGCCTTTATAGATTATGTTATTTGATCAATAAATGGTGATGGGCAAAGCAGACAAATTGTGTAATCTGTTAACTACACATAGCCTAAAAACCCGACTTTTTACTTAAGTAGCGGATATGGCTGTCATGCCATAAAATATTTTTAATACGACTGACTTTGTATTTAATGTGAATTTATTTAATTACAATATTATAAGTTACTAATTATAACACTTTCATTTAACAGAGAGCAAAGAACATACATTATCAAAGAGCATTTTCATTCAGTCTAGCCAGAGTTCAGGCACTCTCAAAAACTCCCATTAAAATCACTGAAGCTGTTTACACTGTGAAGTGAATATCTTAACTTACATTTGTACACACATCTGCACTTTGTTGTTTCTGATGAGAGAATTCGCAGGATAATTCAGTCAGCGAGCAAGTGAACAAAACACCTCGTTTCAGCGATGACTCATCTGAACGTCTCTGATTGGTCATTGCATTCATTAGCTCAACAGAATCGTGTGTGATTGGTTATAATGCAGCGCTGTACAAACGCGTCTGTCTGGCTCAGCGCCAGCCAGCGAACGCAGATTTGAATTTAGTAGCTGATGATATGACGCACTGAACGATCTAATCACGCTGGTGGGATTGTATCAAACATTAAAAAAAATATTATTCGGCTATTTTTTTGTCTTTTGGATGCTGCATTCAAAATCCACTTGGCTAAGAAATCCGAGATAGATCTCAATTACTTTTTCTCATTTGTTTCTGAATTTCTTTGGATCTCGGCATGATGTCTAGCTTTTGAGGATCTTTTGGTCTACTTCACTTTGTCAGGCAGGTCCTATTTAAGAGATTTCTTGATTGCGAACAGGTGTGGCAGTAATCAGGCCTGGGTGTGGCTAGAGAAATTGAACTCAGGTGTGATAAACCACAGTTTTAACAGGGGGGCAAACACTTCTTCACACAGGGCCATGTAGTTTTGGATTTTGTTTTCCCTTAATAATAAAAACCTTCATTTAAAAACTGCATGTTGTGTTTACTTGTGTTATCTTTGACTAATATTTAAATTTGTTTGATGATCTGAAACATATTAATGTGACAAACATGCAAAAAAAAAAAAGAAATCAGGAAGGGGGCCAACACTTTTTCACACCACTGTATATATGTCTGTGCCAAATAATATGTGCCAATTTTGTTAGCATCATAACTCCTCTTTATGGAAAAGATGTACAATTCCTTAAAAAAACATACTGACATCATAATTACATCATCACCATTTCAGCATGTGAACCCTTCAGGTAGGGGACAATCTTGAATAGTCAACCCTGTTGTTACGATTTTCTACAGTAAATAAAATCTAAAATATATTAATTCTAAAATGTATTTCATCTTAATTGCATACTTTAAATCTATCATGTATAAAAGCTTTAAAGGAACACTCCACTATTTTTGAAAATAGGCTCATTTTCCAACTCCCCTAGAGTTAAACAGTTGAGTTTTACCGTTTTCTAATCTATTCAGCTGATCTCCGGGTCTGACGGTAGCACTTTTAACTGTAGCTTAGCATAGATCATTGAATCGGATTAGACCATTAACATCTCGCTCAAAAATGACCGAAGAGTTTCGATATTTTTCCTATTTAAAACTTGACTCTTCTGTAGTTACATCGTGTACTAAGACCGACGGAAAATTAAAAGTTGTGATTTTCTAGGCCGATCTGTCTAGGAACTATACTCTCATTCCGGCGTAATAATCAAGGAACTTTGCTGCAGTACCATGGGTGCAGCAGGCGCAATGATATTGCGCAGCGCCTGAAAATAGTCCCCAGCATGCTCCCTGTGCAAGCAGGTGGTCACGTTGGTTATGTTGGCAGAAGTTAGCCTATTTTCAGGCTCTACGTAATATCATGTATATTTACTAGCCATATCGTATAGTTCCTAGCCATATCGGCCTAGAAAATCGCAACTTTTAATTTTCCGTCAGTCTTAGTACAAGATGTAACTACAGAAGAGTCAAGTTTTAAATAGGAAAAATATCGAAACTCTTTGGTCATTTTTGAGCGAGATGCTAACGTTCTAATCAGATTCAATGATCTATGCTAAGCTACAGCTAAAAGTGCTAACGCCAGACCCGGAGATCGGCTGAATGGATTTGAAAACGGTAAAACTCAACTGTTTAACTCTAGGGGAGTTGGAAAATTAGCCTTGTGTTCCTTTAATACATAGACTTAAAATTCACCTTTTTAAAATCAAAAGGCTGCTTATATTGACTACAAATTGTTCTTCTCTGTTTAACTCTAGGGGAGTTGGAAAATTAGCCTTGTGTTCCTTTAATAAATAGACTTAAAATTCACCTTTTTAAAATCAAAAGGCTGCTTATATTGACTACAAATTGTTCTTTGCATTTCTTCTGTTTACCTCAAAATGATTTGTTAAAGGCCCAAATGAATATGTCTAATGTAAGGAAAACTGTTTATCAAGAATAATAACAGCAAACTCCTGTTATATTAATACACCTCCTCATTATATTGAAAAAACAAGACCTTTCTCACAAATTGTGACAAATTGTGCATTACTGCTATAAAATATACAAAATATCATCCTTTCATCCTGTATTCTCCATTTCCCTCACTTTCCACTGAGCCAGCTATCAGCTCCTTCATGCTGTTCTGAGCTGGTTGAAGGCCAGTTCAGCATGATATGGCTATGATCTGAAAGAAGACTTCCTTGCCCCTCATGCAGGAAATCCGCTTGAGAATGTGTTCAACTCTGAGTTTGTTTGCATGGATGCCAGGAAAAAACAGCCCATCAGCTACTTGTTGCTGTTTTTAGTTATGGGGGGATTTTGGAAATGCCCATTTAAGTGTTTGCTTGCTTCTTGTTACGAGCATTAGTGGTGAACCTTACACCTTTAAACTTTGTGAAAACTGTAGGGTCTGTGTGCTCTAACCCTATGAATTATTGGTGATTTATTATATGCTACTGCAAAAGTTTGGGGTCAGTAATTTTTACATTTTAAATAAATTTTTTAAAACATTTTTTATATTTTATTATTAGTTTTTATTGAAGTCTCTTGTACTACAAGGCTGCATTTAACTGATCAGAAATACAGTAAAAAAGTATAGTATTGTGAATTATTATTATTACAA